TTTTTTTTGTAATTTCATTTAAAATTAAACGGAAAGAGATAAGAAGAAAGTAATCCGATAAGAATTATCAATGAACTTATAAGAGTTTAACAAAATTTTCCTACGATAAACAGGGATTTGTTGTGAGCGCGCGAGCGCGCGCAAGAGACTTAAACCCTAATTAGGGGAAACCCTAGTTGGGTGAAACCCTAACGAAGGGTTTAGGGGGGCGGAAGTGACACCAAAAATTATAGTGAGACTGAATATTTGCGAAAGCTTAAACCCTTGTATTTTTCTATGATTTTAAATATTTAATCAATCAAAATTAGTATAAATTAATAAAAAAATAGCGATTTTKTATTTATAATTGTTTAAAACTTGCTTTTCCAGCCTTTTCAAACAGTGGATTGAGGGACGATTCCCCTARACCTGATCCTCGTGTGGGGAGGCGAAACGTTGCCGAAAAAATTGAAAATTATGTTTAAATTTGAATATATTGATATTTAAAAGGATAAAAATTATTAAAAATAATTAAAAATTCAGTAAATTAGGTTTATATCTTTATATTATCTTTCACATTTTTTTGCATCCCTTAGTATTTGTTGAGGGCTTAGCCCGAACCCCATCCCAACGAGGGGGAGGCGAAGCGCTACCAAAATTTTTCTAAATTCATAAGAATTATTTTAATCAAAAATAAATGAAGGGAATAGAGATATTAATAGGAGACATTTCTCCTAACGGAGGGAGACTAAAAGGAAGAATTATTTCGACTTTCTTTAAAAAAAAAATGAATTAAATTATGATAAATTTAGAAAATTCTAGGAAAAGGTAGGGATAAAGGAGAAAGACCAAAGGGAAATTACAGAGGGGAACGCAATCCAATCCTTTAAAGGACGGGTGTGGAAAAAGGATTTTATCGGATTCTTATTGAATTTTTGCGAATTAATTTTCGAATAATTTAGTAAAAATCCTTGGAAAGGTCGAGAGAGCGAGGAAAATTCGAGACTGATTTCCTCTAGCATTCCTCTGCCATCCTTGAATTTAAGGGCCAAAGCACCTCCAATTTAGGAACTGATTTTGAATTTTCTCTAATTTAAACTATTAAAATTCATTAAAAATCAAAAACAGTTTGGAAAATTTAGGGAAATAGTTCCAGTTTAGTATTTCGTAGGTTCTTAAGTTGTTTGCTGCCTTGTGGGCTGAGGGCGCACACAGGGAGCGGAGAAAGTAGGATTCTCTCGAATTGTGCACGCGCCTACTATTCGAGGTAACTTGAATAGAAGGCTCGTTAGCTCAATTCAAGCAAGGCGTTCTGCTTTATGGATGTTTGGGGAAAGGTAGACGTCAGTAAGAACATAGCTAGGTAGCTTTTACTTAGGGATCACCTCCCTATCCCCATCCCTACGGGGAGAGGCGAAGCGCTGCCGAATTTTTTTAGGATTATAGATATCCGTAGTTCCCTACCCCTTTTCAGGCGCTGTAGGGCTATCCCTATGTACGACAGTTCGTCTGATGTTGCGGTCCGAGGCTATAAAGATCTAGGAGGCCAGCCGAGCATGGGAGATAGAAGCTTCGGAGCTTATAGAGGGTGACCAGGTAGAGCTTACAACATGTTATTCAATAAAATAGGACATTATACTGTGTCTTCTTTCTAACGAATTCATTTTTGGCTGCATTCCAAGCAACGTAGGCACGCCCATCCACGGCTTAAGCACATGGAGAAGTGTGCTGAGATCTGTACTTATGAAACTTTATAAATGATATCCCAAATGAGAAAACGTGTTTAAACCTATACATGTTAGGCACGCCGCACGGGAACCTTGTGTGGAAGTGTGCCGGGATCCTTACTTGCTGAACTTCAAAAGCATGGCACTGCTGGGAATCCTGTTTGGAAGTGTGCTGGGATCCGTACTTGTTAAACTTCATAAACGAATAACGACAGGCACGCCCATTAGGGAACCCTGTGCGGAAGTGTGCTGGGAGC